GTGAACAAACTCTTTCAGTCTGGACCCTTTCAAGGTGACAGTCCATCAGCCTAACAAAATCTGACTGTCTGGATAATACCAACAATTTTTTTTCCAGGCTACCCGTGCTTTAGGATTTAAGGATACACAAACCTTTTGCAAGTCTACAAACAGCCTCAATTCAGATTAGTGTTTTCCTTCAATATAAAGTCTTCGGTCCCATTACAACCTATGCAGCTCCTGGTTTTAATCAGCTTCAGGTCTGGTCTCAGGAGCAGGAGCTGGAGAAGCCATCATTACATTCCCCTCCATTTCCTCTCCACATGACTCCTTCCTGGACAGCCGGCAAACGGTCCTTCTGCCTGCGCCAAGGACAGCATGGAGAGGGCATCCATGAGCTCAGGCTCATTGTCTGCATGACCTCAGGGTTGCTTTAATAGCTAGCAGACTATCCAACATGCTTTGCAGGGTAAGTGCAAGATTTCCAAAGGAAAGGAATATCTTGTATTGGCTGCTGAACTTTCCCTTTTCCTATGACAAACTCAAAGTTGAATAGAATTAATTTGAAGCGAGCCAAAACTACAGCAGACAATTACCAAGAAGCCTGTTTCTGTGGAGAACTGGAGCAAATGGCTGCCATATAGAGCTAAAATTTCTTCCATAGACTCCAGACCATCAGAGGTGCTATGGTTAACTGTTTTTGTGCATGAAGAGGTTAAAACAAATTGCTAAGCTGCTGCAATTTACACACACTTTAAATGTTTCTACTTTCCACCCATTTGGGGTTCAATCCTTGTTATCAAAGGGACCAACATTCTTGGCTTCCTCATTTGCATTGAAATAGGACTGACATTTCAGTGGGGTTGCTATCTTTATACAAAGGTAATTGAAATACACTTTCTACTCCCCATCAGTATCACAGATCTCCTGCTTCAGCATTATTTCTAAAAAATCTCTTGCCAATACCTCATCTCTACCACTGTGGACCACTAAGCAATTGTCTAGATATGCAAAGTACTGGCAGCTGATACAGGCTTTTCCACCCCTGTGCCAAGCAAACCTATCTTGGATTGTGTTAGACAACACAATAGTAAAGGAAAAGCTTCAGCAAACAGTTCTTTTGCATTGCTCCCTTTCCCATATACAATGAGGCCCTATTCTCAGCTGTCCAAGTGAGTGTAATTCCAGTGCATACAGAAGACTGAGTATGGTTGGATGCAAATCTCGCCACTGACCATTTGTAAGTTACATTGGGTTCGTCTGTGTGGATGAAAGAACTGTTATCTTATGTCCAGAATCCTCTAAAAAGCTTCAAGAATCTATACTGATGCAATTGAACCACACATTTTCTAGAGAAGACTCCTAAAAATGCATTTAATTCCTACCCTAGTAAGAAACATGGCTATCCAGGTCAAGGAGACAACTAAAATCTCAAGTTTACCAGCAACCATTATTTGCTAGCATTAGAAAGAAATGGTATTTCTGCTCCATCTATGTCAGAAGCCCACTACCACCATGTTGCTGGGGTTTGACCTTTCCAAAAGGGAGAACACCCTCTGAGTTTGCAATGTGATGCTTTCGCTAAGAGAAACAAAATTCAGAACTTTCATCCCTTCTGAGTCACCTGACTTCCTATTTTAGAGCCAACTCATTTCAGCACAAACCTGATCACTGTGATAAAACTACCAAACTTGATGTTTTGTTCAGCTAACTGAGCTTGCCGTCTGTATTTAAGTGCATGCAATCCAAGAATTAGGGATGTAAGCATGAGTGTAATTGGCTTTATAATCCGATTTTGAGACACCTTTCCAGACCAATGACTGCCAGGCAGTTTCAAACAGAATCACCATCCCACTGAATATCTCCAGTCTCTGTAATACAGAGCATGAATTCCTCTAGCAACCTCCTGCTGACTTTCAACCATTTCCTCTCAGAACAGCAGAATAATAAGGAGATGAAGGAGAAACCTTCAAGTATTAAATATTTTGAGAATTATAAAAGTCAAACCTTTCCTGTTTGCAGTCTGTACCTACCACAGCTACATAGGCACATACACATATACATTTACTAAGTGTGCAGGTATGTTGGTACGCACACATTTTGGAAGAACAGCAACTCATAATAAAGCTTTGTGAATAGTATATTATGTACTCGTGCTCCCCCTACAGAAAAATAGGTGCAGCTTTCATCTATCTGATTCTCCCTGTTTAGCAAAGTGAAAGAGAGCGTAAAATTGCATCCTGTGGTCAAGAGAGTTAAAGCAAGTTGATACAACCCTAGTATATATTATCTGATTAGTGCCACGTAAGACAGAGAGCCTTTGCAGTATCTGCCACAAAGAAAATACAAATCCTGAGACATGCTTTGAGGTACTTCAGCAGAAAGGAATATAGCATTTATATGACTAAGACTGGCTGGCACTAACTGCCATGGATGGTTTACAGACACTTTTGTAAATTACACAGTAGTTCCAGACTTCTATACATATAATTATGTCTAATAGATGTAAAAGTAACGACTACTCTTGGCAGACTACAATTTGGAGGACTGGACTACTACTTAGAGAGCATACCATTTAATAAGCTGCTTTACTTCGTGGAGACTTGCAATTCACCACACAAGTACCCTAATGTAACACGATCATTGCCATAGTACAAGAGTTCACTTGCACTGGAACATCACAAGGTACTGAATGATTATGGTTTGCAATTCCCACTATTTCAATAATTCTCTTTTCTAGTTACTATCCCAACGTAAAAACAAGTTAGAGAGCAAGGTGGTGCTGCTGATCCAGGAAAATGGCATACAAAGTTCTCTGCCTGCGTGACCCCAGCAGACATGAGTACAATGGACGAGTTTGTGATCTACAGCCACAACGTGATGCTCCCCAAGAGCAAGAGAGGTTTTACGTCAAAGTAGAGAGAGATAAGATCAACCTAAGCCCTAGTGGAAAAAAATGGGTAACATACCCTTGGGCAATCTGTAGATTTAGAGACTACAACAGAGAACAAAGATGCAAGTTACAGGATTAAGTAATACAAAAAGAAAAACAAGGAAGAATAAACCTCAAAACTGGAATCAGAGGTACAGCACTGATAAATGAGCAGGGCATGCTACTGCTGTCTTTTATAAAGTCTTTTGCTATGTGTAATTCCAAAGGCATCCCAACTCTTCAGCAGCCAACAATCTCCTGGAAATGTGCAAACTGATTACCATTTTTCCCTCAGCAGAAAAACAGCTAGCTTGGATGAAGAGCCAGTAAGAGAAGCCATAGTACTGACAGAGCACAACAATGCTGGCATAAGGGCTCTTAAAACAAGCATGACTGGGGAAAAAAGACATGGACCTGACTTCAAAGGTGCTAATTCTCTCAGCCCCAGCCTTTCATCTATGCACCTTTGTGCAGGGAATGCGTATTGATATTTCAGAAACACCTAGATGCACTCTGCATATTTAACAAACTTGTAAGCCAGAATCAACACTCAATCTTCTCTTGCTTGGTGAGTTTCTAAGGCTCACGGCTAGACACCCTCCTCTTTGTCGAAATCCTGACAATAGGCTGAAGGAAAGAGTCCTACTGGTCTTGGTTAAAAGCAACTGCAGCCTATTTAAAGCACAAAAAGGATGGAACATCTTTTTAATTTTTTTGATCAAAGTTGCCTACTGTTAACAGATGGTTTGGAAAAAAAGAACTATAACAATGTGCTAACCACGTGTTTCTACAGGACTTCAATACAATTCTCAGAATGCCAACAGTTCTCTAGCAAGATTAATCAATTTTTAAACGTGAGTGTACCCTTTCCTTAAAATACCGACATAAGAGCCAGCCAGCTTCTACATTAATGCCTAAGGAGTTTCAGAGGTTGAATTTACTGCCACCTGGTGACAAAAACAGCAGGGAGCCACACACAGCACCTCAGCCATGTTCACCGCATGCCTGGAGTCACCTGTCCTTCCTGCAGCGAGACTCAACTATACCTTGTAGCAATGAGTTTCACAGATTATTTTTTCTTCCCTTTCAGTTTAGTCAAGTGTTCTGCTCCTAGCAGATAAAAGGGAATGCATTTTCAGGGTAGCTTCCCTGTATGCTGCAGAATGACAAGCCTAAGGGAGCTCATTCTTTTTTCCCTCCGTTCTCTCAGAGGTCAGTCCACCCCATCTATTTGCTAGAACACAGACAGGGAAGAGCTAAATCACACAGAACAGAAGTTAACTGCCTCAAACAGAAAAATCAAAAGCAGAACCCAAAACAGAATCCAGATATAAAGTCCTCTGTCAGGGTTTATTTTAAACATCTACATTTGTCACAGCTTCCATGACACTCTTCAATCTTGTAAAACCAGCTGATTACAACAGGGTTGTTTCGGGCACAAAACAGTTTTTGTAGTTAATGAATAACTAGCTCTGAACTTTTACTGATACCTGTATCTGGATGTTCCGTATGACACGGGTCAATCGTAGAAAAAAATCAACAATTTTTTATTAGCACAAAACAAAACAGAAAAAATAAATATGCCTTTTAAGGATGCTCATACAATGCCTAAGGCACATGCACACTGAGGCTTCAGATAAGTGAAAATTAAAGCTTTTGCAGATATATTCTATGGAATTCTGATCGAATTCCTATTTCACCATAACTCTCAGTAAACAACAGCCCTTCTTTAGTAAAACTATGAAAGAATGCGATTCTGAAAAGAACTTTTCAAAATGCTTGTGTCTTACATACAATCAGAAGAATTCTTTCACTTATCCCACCTCCCACAACTGACTGTTCTTACAGTACATCGTTCAGTCTAATCTTAAATAGCAACTCCAGAAATTCAGCTCAAACATACAGTTGGGGGCAGCAGCACAGGACCATACACAGCAGTGCCAAGTCACTATACAAGAGCTCCCACTATTCTTTTGGGGAGGAAAAGCACATGGCTGTCAGATTTGTCCTCGGAAAACTGCTCACCAAGATTGAAAGTTTCCTCCTACTAATTTCATCACACTCAGAAAAAGGTTAAATGTAATCCACGTACTTAAATATTTTTTAATTACAATTACAGGTTAAAACTCATTACAAGTGTTTTTATCGCTTTGAACTTTTCAGAAATATCTTGGGTGTTTGCCATCCCGCAGGAGGATTTTTCAAACCAGCTCTTTTCCAGATGCGCTCCAAATCTTTCTCAAATTTTATCTAAAACAGAAAAAAAAAAAAAAAAAAAAAAGAAAAAATGGTAACATAGCTCAGAAGCAACACTCAAGTATTCAGTCGCTGCCCGCGTGTCCCAAGGAGAATCTAGGTATAACGCACACAAGGGAAACAAATGCTTTTAAAGTAAGCAGCTTGCTCTAAGTGTCAAAATTGTTAGCCTAACTGCAGAAAATACATTAAAATGCACAAGCATTATTTTAAAAGTCCTGCGCCAGGAAAACTGAGAAGATGGAAAATGAAACTGTAAGAAAATGAAGAGGATTTCCTCATCATAAAGTGTTCAACACTGCTTCCTACAAATCTGAAGAAATGGAATTACAATGAACCCCAATTTGCATCTAGGCAAGGTGAAAATTACCAGAGAATGAACTAAACTATATCATAGCAAACCTAACAGACTACTGAAAGGTAGTGTTGAATGAGAATGTCTACAGCTTGAATGAAGGCCCATGTCTTTCCTCACCCCTTCTGTTAAGGGAAGGAAAAGGCTTCTATATAGAAAAAGGCAATAGGAAGCACTTCAGGATGTTGGCGAGACAGGAAAGAAATTAAGATTAAACCAATCTCCCTGATATAATGCAGACACGTGAATTAATCTTTCACACAAACGCTAAAATTCTTCTCCCTTAACCACATATATTTCTAAGTTACTGTCATGCAAGAAAAATTACGCCTAGTAACTATCACACATCTATGTTTACAACCACAGAAATATTCTAAATTACAGCTTCTGAAGATGTACAAGTGAAACACAAAACAAAAAAAGCTACTGTACCAGTAAGTACTGAATTCACTGAGGCTCTCCGACCTGCTGCCATCAATTCTACCTAAAAACATCATCTGATACCCGAACAGAGGCCAGTTTGAGAAGTGGGCACATTTATGTCAGGAAGTTCTCTCTACCCTGAGCTTACCTGACGTTTCTTTTTGCGACCTTCCTTTATCCTCCTTCGCACAAACTTTCTTCGCTTTAGCAGCTTTTTGAACTTGTGCCGATTCATTTTCCTTCTGCGAATCTTCAAAACATTCTTACATTGAAGCTTGTTGCTACGTGTTCCTTCTTCCTCCACATCAGCTCCCTCATCAGACGGGGGACAGTCATATCGCTGGAGAGGTTCATAACCCACTTCTTCCTGAGCATTAAGGACTTCTGCTTTAGGAAGGGAGTATCTAACTGTCAGCCAGCTTTCCAAGGGGCTGATGGAAAGTTTTCTGGGGATCAGCATCTCTTCCAGTTCAGGGTCCAGAGCATACCACCGCTGAGGTTGGGCTCCATTCTTGTTAGGTGGCTGTGTGCTATAGTGCGCAGACGTAGAGTGACAGCAAAGAAAGGAAGACACTGACCTTGGCAAAAGGTGGCCTTTGAGAAGAAAAGAATTTCACTTAAGAGGCAGAATTTTCAAACAGTATCTTAAGAAAAGCTCTGCCCGGCTCTCAAACCACCAGACAACTGTGGCCAGAATAATCTAATAAAGGAAGCTGCTTACAAAAATTCCCATCACAAAAGCAAGGAAGTCTTTTTTAATTTTAATTTAATTATGTTGCTGTAACACCACCTGCTAAAAAACCATCATACAATATTTTACTGTGTAAACTGTGTAAGTGCAATTTGGAATGGCTAGGAACTGTTCGCTGTATTAAGCCTTTCTGCTGCTAAGGAATCTCCTCCTAAGCTTAAAAGAGGTCAAATCAGAGCCACGCAACACTGACAGAAGAGATCAGAAACATAATAACATTCGACAACCACTGAATCAACAACAGCCTCACCACTCTTGCACTGCTTGCTGGAGAAGAAATTTCTGGGAACCTAATTACCCCAGAAAAAAACCCAGAAAACTAGGTCACACAACATCTGTTTACCTGCAATTCGCGAAGCCTTCAGGAATTGGGAAGTCAGCTGTGATATTAACATATTTTTTCGCTCTGTTCACTGTCAGAGCCAGGAATGACTGTTAAAATAAGAACATTTATTCAATGAGGCAAGCATGTTGTTTAAAAAAATCCTCTATATTTAACCGAAAACCCCAAAAAGAGGGGCTGAGCACCCTCCTCGTTTTACCAACGCGCTGTCGGATGTTGCTGTAGGGGCCTGGCCCACAAGCACTGGTGTAGCTCAGCTGCAGAGGTGATTAATTAAGCTTCGGCTGTTCCCGGTTTAAAAATAAGGCAGCTT